TCACACAAACACACCTTTACTCAAAACTCAATACTCAACCGAATTCCGAAAACCAAAAACCAAAAACCGAAAAGCGAAAAATCTGCGAGTAATGTAAAAAAATGGTAAAAAAAATGTAAAATAAAACAATGTAAAGCGCAGAAAAATGAATGTACTTGACACCCTCCCTCCCTGTCCTGGTATCACCCCATTCCACCCCACCCTACCCCACTCCACCTTCCCTACCCCAGTTTCCTATCCATCTATCCATCCATCCATCCATCCCATTCCATCCAATCCAATCCAATCCAATACCATTCACACCCGACCCTCATTTCCTAAAGCTTATCTCCATCTTTATCTTAATCTCCATCTGCATCTTCATTTGCATACATACACACAAAAGAATGAATTAAATAAAAAAATTGAAAATTATTTTCCCCGTATCCCAATTCCATTTACTATTCCCATTGACATCACATCGCATCGCATCAAATCCATACCACCCACTCCACTAAGAAAACCATATTATCGGATTTTCGCCCCAGATTTATTTGGTTCCTAACAGCAGCTATAAGTTTCGACGCCGGACCTTCAAAGCATCACTCAATCTCTCTGTCCTCGGATTTTGTTTCAAAGAAAAGTAAAAACTGGTTCGGACCTGATGATACATCTTCAGGTCCTACGAATGAGTCTTTGATGATTAATTTGGGGTAATTTCATCACCTACTCCATTCATGTTTCATCAGGGACTCCCTCTGGATGTTTGTATGCATTCTCATAATCAAACTCGCATCACCTGTCTCTCCCCAACATTCCCTTCATTAACCTTTGTCTGATTTCCTCACTCCCCTCAAAACCTCCAGCACTACCACCCGCCCCGTAATTCCCACTTCCACTTCCACTTCCTGTTCTATTCACCCTCAATAAATCATTTGCACCACCATCAAATGCATTTCCTAATCCAGAACTAGTGCCGTAGATACTATTTGTATTTGCGTTACTTCTCGAATTACCACCTCCTAGATTATTCATGTTTGTTTGACCATAGGAAGATGTGGAGGTATGACCTAGGGTAGGAAGATCAAGGGTAGGAAGATCGATGTATGAGGGGTCCGCGAATTGATTGTACGATTGCTGTTGGTGGGTGGTTGGTGTTGAGCGAGTATATGAGGAGGTTTGGTTAAGTGCTGATGATTTGTAGTCAGGTTGAGAATAGGGAGGAGTTGCAGTAGAGAGAGAAGTTGTGCGGGGGTTGTACGATGTTTCGGGTTGTGAATATGTTGGTGAGGGATTAGCTAGAGACGAATGAGTTCGGTATGAGGTGTCGGGTTGAGAGAAAGATGGTGATGGTTGAGCTAGGTTATGAGGACTAGCTGTGCGATAGGCATTTTCTGCTTGAGAAAATTGTGGCGAGGCTTGGCTCATAGTGCCTGCTCGATAGCTGTTGGCCATTTGAGGTGATGGTTGATGAGTGCCATATCGTTGACTTGTTTGATTGGAAGGATACTGTGAGACATAACTAGCGGCACCATGATTCGGGAAGTAGCTATTTGATGCATTTCTCGAAACATTTTGTGTCATTTTTTGGCTCTGGTCATCCCTTGAATGGCTTTGTTGTGAAGTTTGATGTTGCATTTGAATTTGCTGAGTCTGTTGAGATGGAGCCTGCTGGGTCATTTGCTGTGGTATTTGTTGTGGTGTTGATTGGGGGATGGATGATGATTTCTGATGTTGACGTCCCTGGGGTGGAATGGTTGGGGTGATACTGCGTCCATTCTGTTGTCCAAGGTCTTGAAATCGAGCATAATGAGCTTCAAGTCCGTCGGCAGGTCGACTTACAGGTGTAATCTGTTGTGTTTGCTGGAGATTTTGTTGTATGCTTTGTACTGAAGTAGCTGGGGAATCTGGTATAGGACTTGGTGGTATGGGAGGTGTAGCGTTACTGACAACCGATGAAACGGGCTTTTTACCATTGGAAGGCCCATTAGGTCCAGGAAGCTTTGGCTTTCTTTGGCGTTTCGGAGGTGGTGGAACAAGAGTTTCAACCATAGGAGTCACAGATTCCCACTGTACATTGGAAGTATCTTTTTGCACAACGGGAATTTCAGTAGGTGCAGGCAGAGGGCTGATGTTCTTGGATGTATGACTAGTTTGTGATTGTGAGCCAGATATATTTTGAGATGTGGTTGTCGGAGCATTCTTAGGTTTATTGGGACCTCGTTTTCGTTTCTGACCACCAGCTGTAGGAGTGCCATTGTTTACTGGTGTCCCTTGAGTCGCGTTGAAATCAGCAGGGCCTCCTCCCGGTGGGTGTTCATTGTTCTGAAAAGCTTCGAGAACAGCACGTTCCTCGGGGCTATATTCCTCTGTCGGGAGGATAGAAGAGGCATGACCCGTATTTGAAGCATGTCCTGTATTTGTATCTGCGTTCCAATGCTCTGCCGAGTAAGTAAGCCGTGGCTGGCCACTCTTATTGATTAGATCTGTCAATGGCACAATTGGGGATTCCTTCGCAGAGATTGGCTTATCCGCTGTCATTTTAGCAACGGCTGCGGGTTGTTGTTGTTGTTGCTGTTGCTGTTGCTGTTGCTGTTGTTGTTGCTGCTGCTGCTGCTGCTGCTGCTGTTGCTGTTGCTGCTGCTGTTGCTGTTGTTTAAGATGTTGTTCCAAAGAACCGGGATCTGATGTAGTAGCATCAGCACCACTTATGGCCGCAGTGCCCTCACTTCCCGTTTGTACTTCCTTTCCCTTATTTCTTGATCCTTTCGGTCTACCCCTCCTTCGCTTGCTTGTAGATTCGGTATCGGGAGCATGATTCTCCATTTGTTGTTTGTGGGGGGTCGCCGGTCGTTCTGGCTCGGCCTGGACTGCTTGATTGAAGGTGGGGGCCGCCGCTAATGCTGATGGGATTGCTACCGCTGCGACAGGTGTTGGTGGGGCTGCCATCGGGGGCGCAGTATTGACTAAAGTTACAGATTGAGGTAATCCCCAAGTCGGAGCTTGAACAGCAGGACCGAATCCAAAACCGTTCGCAGGACCTGGAGGTTCAGCCATGCCATTCTCTAGACCTTTCGAGTCTCTCGGTGGTCTTCCACGACCCCTCTTTCCCTTGCCAGAGAGTGGTTCTGCCATCTTTGATATTGTAGGCTCTGGTGCTGATGATAGGTCGGGAAATATCTCTCCCAGCCATCCTATAAACAACGCCCCGGTCTCTCTCGTGTTGGCACTCTCAGGAAATATACCATCTTCTGGTGGCGGTGCACCAGGTATACCTCCAAAATATGCCACTGCCTTACAAACTTGATCGACAACCGTAACTGGGTTGATGCTTCTCAATAGTGTCAACAGTCGCGCTTGTTCATATTTCGTCTCGTCCGGAGTTAGCGGCCTCGCACGTTGTTTGTGATCATCTCGTGAACCAAACGGCGACGCGCGATTCCCACCTTCACTTTTCGCCGCGTCGAGTCCTCTCTTCTTTGGAGGAGCATATTTTTCATTCGCAGCAGCTTTCGCACGCGAGGCCGTATTCTCACTTGTTCTTCTCGCTGCAGCATCACGCTCAGCTGCGGCGTCCTTCCCTGGTATATCTTTCTTTCCAGGCGTACTGGCCGCCATGTGCATGACACCAAAATTGCCTTTTTTATTATCGGTTTTGCCTTTCAGCTTAGATGGCACAGGGTTCCGAACTCTGCCGTCCTTGTTGGGACCCAAAACGCCTTCGAGTATCGGATTCGAATTCAATTCCACCAGCTCTAACGCGCCAAAGACACCTCTTGGTGATGAAGATGATTGATCTTTTTGTGATGTTTTCGCAGGTACAGCTGTTGGCGTAAGATCCGTAGCGTTTTGAGCTGAGGGAAGGCGCAATGATTGTGCCATCGAGTTCTTTGTGATGATTGTAGTGTCGAGAGTAGAATTAATTAGTTGATTCGCGTTCGGTGTCTGTATTTTAGGATGGAGCTCGGTCGCATTAACGATATTGGTATCAACAAATTGATGAATACGAAAATGCCCAAAATTGCCTTTACCCGTTACAACTGAAGATAGACCAGAAGACACCGTTGACATGATCGTGATTGAAGTGAAGAAGTTGTCGCCATGATATCTATTTCGTTGTACAAGGAATTACTTTGAGATTCAGACGTTGCTTTGGGGGTTATTATGAACCACGGGATCGCGTCTAAACCATAAGTAAGCTATGGCCCCCAAAGTGAATTTTACTGGGGAAGAGAAATACCCGTTTGAGAGGGATTGTTGAGAAGGTATGTACGGAGTAATGTAACATACATTATTTACCCCATAATTGAAATATTCAATGTGGAGTAGAAATAGAAGAAGAAGGTATATCTTCATTTTTTAATCCATCAAAAGTTATATAAGAAATTATTATGGCATTCATTTTTGAATAATAAATGTTCTTGTTATTTCGATATATTCATTGGTCGTAAAAACAGTACGTACGTACCTACCACCTTACCCACCACCTACTGCCTACTACCTACTCCCTACCTACCTACTTATCAAACTGCCACTGAATATCCTCTCCCTCTTCTCTTCCTCTTCTAATTCTCATCCAACTAATCCATCCATCAATCCATCCATCAATCCACCATCCACCAACCCACCAATAAGCACCTTAGCTACTCCAATATTCATTCCCTCCTACTCGTATAGTACCACAATACAACAATACAATACAATACAACCAACCAAAACCACGAAACAAGAAGTACTGGTATGGTATGATACAGATTTTTCAGCTTTGTATTTCCAGCTTATTATAATAATACCAACCAACTTCGCCCTCATAGAGACCTAGGAGCCAAGTCAAAGTCAGCCCTTTGGATTACTACGAGTGAATGTGATCCTGACCAACCAACCAATTGATAGGTAGGTATCAATCTTGTCTGACCTTACTAATACCCGCGCTATGAAATAAAGGCTTGGAGCTCGAGAAGATGTTGGGAAATATCAAATGTTGTAGTAATACCTACCTAGTAGGTAAGCATATGAGATTAAAATCCAAATATCCAACAAAGTAATATCATAGTGATGAATATAAATTCAGGTAGTCAGTAATCAAACACGATGATTAGATTTGGATATTCCTAGTATTTTATACACATCATTATAATTCGCAAGCCATCCATTCTACCATCCCATCCCTTTTTTGCAATTCCGTCCATCGGGTGTTTGCTTTCTCATCTCAACATTGGTGGGTTGGTATGGAGGAGCCATAAAAATCAATCAAAACAGGGGGGTTAGCCAATTCCTAGCCTTCTATTCCATCCAATCCCTCCTGATATCCTTCAAGATCCCATCCATTACCATCTCCATAGACAAGATCGAATGAGAATTCTTATCTCTATTCTATACCGTCATATTATACAAATCTCTATGGCTTGACATTCCACAAATCTGTAGTCCAGCCTGTTTCCTTCATTTTCTTGCTATTTTTCGATGTCGGACTTCTCTTACTTTTGCTGGAGACAATGAGAAGTTCTTTGCTTGCTGATGCAAAGGTATCCACAAGTTCTGGCATTCTTCCAGTTTTTGAGAAGAGTTCCAACAGATCGGAACCTTCGGCCGCGATTCTAGTAGCCAGATCCATGGACATCATCAAGTAATCACGAGTTAACATAGGCCCAGCCATCTGCAATGTTTTGATCCAAGCCAAAATAGTTTCAGGAAGATACGTTTCTCGCAAGCGTGCAAACTCGGGTTGGTCTGATGAGATATATTAGCATCTTTGCTAATCGATTAATGCGATATGCTTACCTTGTAGACTTGTTGTCAACCATCCGTTAAATAATGGCTGTACATCAATACTTGCCGCCGGAAGGATTCCATTAAGGGCTCGCTTCAACGCTTTTTTTTGAGTAATATCAACACTCCTAGGTCCTGAATGTTAGTGATAAAACTCATCTCAAGATATCAAATGACCCACTCTTGCATAAAATAGTATAGATCCCAGACGGTCTCTATGTGATCTAGAGTCAGGGCCAGTGTCTCAAGTTCTCTGAAACTCTTCGCCTGCTCCACCATATACTTCTTAAGATATCTCTTCTTATCTGCGGAACCATCGAGAACTTCTGTTAGATCTTCGTTGTCTTCAGACTCCAAACCATGGAAGTCGAGGCTCTCGCCCAATAACGCTCGAGTTTTACTCAAAGCGATTTTAGAACTCGAGATCCTTTGGGATAAAGTGAAGGCGGCGAAAAGATGTCGATTTTCTGATTCATGATTAGCTTTGAAGATGGAATCCATAGGCAACAACTTACTATAGAACCGTTGATATAGCATTCTGCCAACCATGAAAGTCTCAGACCAAAGTCCATCCACAAGTAGATACCATTCTAGACTTCTGATAAGCAGAAGATCAATCCTATCAAGGGTCTCGGAGTCACGTCCTATAAAATCTCTCTTCACTTTCCTAACCCCCTTGCCATCATCTCTCAGAACCTGAAATTCGCTGGGTGACGGGTAAGCTTCAGCTCCATCAGGATGATCCGAGAGAAGAAATCTTGACTGATAGTTGACGAATTGTTGTACATCTAACCCTAGCTCTCTCATCAGTCTGATTTGGGTGACTCGTTGTTCATGATCCGTAATATCAATCAGAGTACGGCTAAGTGTGGCGTATCTTCTTGCTCCAGAGAGTTGAGAACAATATAGAGGAATGAGTTCCCCTTTATTTGCGAGTCGCAAGAAACTAATGTATGCTACGATCACGTTCTCGATGACCGATTCTCGAAGCACACCACCCATATCTAACCCAAGACCCCTGAAAATAAGGATAGCATGAGTGAAAACTCGCAAGCTTTCATGATCACCTAAATTGATATAGTTGGTGATGTCTTGATCTTTAGGTTGTTCCTTCGTTCGAGGTATCAAGTTCGAGGTGGTTTCTGCATTCGCAAATTTCGACAATGCCAGGCCTTGTTGATAGATGAAGTCCGCAAATTGTTCTCCAATCAGAACTCCTTGAAGCATTTTCATCGGCTGTAAGGTTTCTTCCGCAGTCCGGGCGTCCGTCTTAAGGCTTTCTACCAGTCGCGTCCCAGCAATCGCGTTATCTCCATGAAGTACAACAGCGTCAAGTGTTCCAAAGGTCAGGGTTCCATTCATCAATTTTTGAGGTCCTGATTGGATGTAATTGTCGAATTGTGTTCGTAACAAGGCATTGTAGTGTGTGAAAATAACGTCATCCCATGATTGGCAGACAGGTTCGACACTCGAAATGTCGCCAGAAAGAATACCATATACTGCTCTTTCGTATTCATCATTTCCACCCTTTCGAGCAAGTGCAAAACACATGCGTCTCCAGAGAGCGCCGGATGCAGGGTCCCCTTCCTCGTCATCTTCCAGTGGCTCTTCATCCAGAAACCCTGACATACTAACTGCTCTCCATATTTCAGTTCGGTCCATACACCACTCTCTGACTTCAGTTGCGCTCCTGCCTCGGCGAAGCATCTCATAACATCCCAACCAAATAGCACGCTCGAAATATTCGTCCTGAACCTCCAACTTCCGGCCTTGACGGGTCACTGAATCGGGATCAAGCTGAGTGACCAGAGGTTCGGTTTTAGACGCATTCCACATCATCTTCTGGATCTCATGAGAATTGGGATCGAGAGGTCGAGGCCAAGAATGTTGACTTTTCTGAAGCTTGATGGCCGCCCTGGTGTGTAACCAACCGTGTGCGATAATATCTCCCCTCTCTGCATTTTGTTGTAGATCCTGAACTAGAATGTCGATTTCCTCTCCTGATTCCTCGGCCGTATCCTGGAGCCATCGCAGCACAGTTTTTCGTTCCAGTGCTAAATCATCAGTCTGTAGGAAACGATCCCAAGCCTCTCGCTCGCTCGAATACTGGTGTATAGGATTATGTCGAGGTTCGAGTTCATTTCCAGCGTTTGGATCAGGGAATCGCAGATGTGCCAATCTTTTCAACAAGTCCCAAGTTTGCGCCTCCTGCTCCCAGCGTATCAAATCCTTCACGGTCGTCCTCGAATTTGTGATGAACTCATCCTCCTCATCCGAGTTCTCCATATCCATCTCATCTGTATCTTGCGCAATCTTGAAACCCCTCATCTTCTTTCTCCAGCTCAAACCCTCCATTCTTCGACGTTCGGATTCATGGCGATCTCGTAGACGGTCCAGTGTGTCGAGAGCTGTCTTGTGGTAAAGCTCAATCAAATCAAATGCCATCTCTCGCCTCTCATCTCCATCTGTCACCCTTAAGGGATTATATCCATCAAGAAATTCCGCAAATTTCTCAACCTCATTTCCAACTCGATTCGCGGCATCTTGAAGGGGGTATAAGACGGCCTCCGTTTCTTTTGGACTTTCTATCATAGCTGGCTTTTCATTTGGAACTATTACCCAGAGAATCAGTAAGTGTGAAAAGCGCACAGTAATTAGAACCATCAATGAGAATTACTGACCTTGCTCTTGCTCTTGCTCTTCACCATAGCGCGACATCCCATCACAAGAAGAAGGGTCTTCCGAAAGCTCCCTTTCAAATCTTGATTTAGACTGCGCAAAAGATTAACATTCTTGAATGTTCTAGCATACATTCCAAAGGAATCTTACAGTTATAAGTTGCCAACTTCCCTCTCGGTAATTCTGGAGAGGAAACCTCAAGTCAGCTTCAATATCGTTTGGATTCAGGCTATTGAAAGTTTACCTGCGACTTTGGTACATCCAATCCATTTATATGATTATTCGCTGCAGATTTACGCGTTGCCATGGGCGCCATATTCGTTAATACGATGCGATTCTTGAAAATGGAAGAAGAAGTCAGGTACAATTCGTTCAATGTTGATATGCATAACCCCGGTGGACAACCTCTCAAACCTTTTAGTCAGGGTCCTGACATATTAGGCATTTTAATCTTTTAGTGCCATCTTAGCGTAATATCTAAGCTGACGCTAAGGAAATCATCTACTTAAGAAATTTCCGAGTCTCAACTTTAAAACTTTTTCTTCACAAATGTCTTAACCGCCCTTCTAATTAGAGTCTCGAATCAAGCCTTCAATGTTTGATTAGATCCATAGGGATCTCCTTGCGCGCTCATGATCGGCTAAATCAACGACTCTTCCTGTTTCCGTTACCTGACCTTTTCGAAGGAGTGAAGGATGGCAGTAAACTTGGAGAGTTACATCTTTTCAAAGAACTATGCAACTTTTGGTGATTACGCGTGTATGCTCGCTCTTCTATAGATATGTGCTCAAGCCTCAAAGTGACTTGGGATGGTGATGTTACATTTGTGGTATCTCCCTCTCGAATTCTTAGTCATGCCATGTAGAAATGGCTGAATGTGAAGAGTCTTCATGGCTGGTATCTTTTGAGGGCATGGGTGTATGATATCTATTATGACTGCTTCTCTTCTGATCTCTGCTTGATCTTCAATCGTAGTAGATTTGCTTTGGGACAAGAAACACTTTTTGCATCATCACCATTCTTCTCATAGAATGCATTACAACAAGCATACAAAGCATCAACCTGTGATCTGCATTTCTCTTCGTTGTAATTGTTCTTCCCCAGACAATCTGTTGTGTAATAATACCATCAGCCATGTTTCCTCGGATCTATAAAGTCTATTCAGAAGAAGAAATGCTGACCTTGAATCGCGCACTTCATTCGGTATTATCAGCTTTGGATTGATCTATAATAAAAATTGAAAGTGTTAAATGGTGTAACATACAGCTTTGGACTGGCAAGGAGGGGCCGCGGTTGTATCATTTTTGGGTGGCTAAAATCCCATACCAATTAGTATCAACTTTGAAAAAGTAAACGTAGAGAAGAAAGTATCACCATATTCAATCCTGTCTCTCACTACGTGACAGTATAAGTGAAGTAAAGAACCAAATTCTTTTTATATTGAGTGAATATATTGACTCAAATATACTCTGCTGTATAAGATAATTTCAGTAATGTAATCTGTCAAAGACTCAAGCACCAATCAGAACCCCTCAACTCGCCTCTTTCCTTTTGTACTTGTAATACTACTTTACCTATTTTAGCGTCATTGGCCGACGCGTGAATTTGACTTCTACTCTATTCCTCATCACAATTCTTAAAACTTGCGATTCCTTGCAACTCTACACTTTCAACCCACACACCCATCCATCCATCCATCCATCCATCCATATAAGCTTTCCAGACACTTTTAATAGTAGATCGATTACATAAAATCAAATCTACTCCTGCATTGTAAGTTTAATTTATTCCAATATAATCCTCTTTATCTCACAAACTAAATCCATCATCTTCAGCCTCACATTCATAAGTACCCCACGAAATCCATCCATCAACAACTTCAAAATGTCCGACAACGAAGGAAGCCCAGTTGGCGAGAAGGCCGAAGTCCCTGTCTCTGAGCATTTGAACATCAAAGTCACTGATAACAACAATGAAGTCTTTTTTAAGATTAAGCGTTCAACCCAGTTGAAGAAATTGATGGATGCTTTCTGTGAAAGACAAGGCAAGGCACCAAACTCTGTTCGTTTCCTCTTCGATGGTAGTCGTGTTCAACCTACGGACAGTCCAGATAAGGTATGTTATATTTTTTATAATCTTCAAAGTGCTGGATATCGTCCTTTGATGGGAAACATTATTGCGCCACTGTGTCGCATCACTCTTGACTAACTCATTCTCACCTCAGTTGGATATGGCAGATGGCGACACTCTTGAAGTTCATCAAGAGCAAATCGGCGGCCAATAAATGGACCATCGCTTTATCATCACCGATCAAACACTACTACACGACGATACGAAATCCTTCACGCAAAACGATCCGCCATGTGCACGATGGGGAGGGGCGAAATGGTATCAGGGCTTGGGATAGCTCAGAGATAGCACGGAATGGAGACAAAAAAAAAGAATATGCATCGCCTAGTTAGCAATTAGCAAAGCGAAGACAATCCCATGATCTGGTTTACTTTTTTTTGTTATTGGGGGACGGCTCGTCAATTTTACTACTTGACATTGGCGCTGATGGGCGTCAAATAGTGTTTCTTCATACTTGAGAGCATATTTTCTGGCTTCAGCTAGGGAGGGTGGGAATCTAGATAGTTATTTTTCCTTCCGGCGAAGTAATTAAAGATGTTCTTTAATTAGTTTGATGGTTATATGATGTGCAATTTGGTTCTGCTGTGAATCTATATGATGTGTTTCTACATGAGTCCTTCTATCAAGCTAAGTGGTTCTACATATAATTATAATTCTCACTACTTTGTGAAGTCCTACTGTACCCCTCTCTACCACCTTGACATATACAAGTAGGCACTTGAATTATCTCCTGCTTCTGAAAACGGTACAATTATATACCTATGTACTCACTCGTACATGCCATATATATATATATAAATTCCAATCACTAATTACCTACCTACCTACTCTACAGAAATCCTACCCCTCCCTCCCTACCCATATCACTTACCATATCATATCCTACCCCTCTCTACCATATCACATCACATCACCTACCGCATCATATCACATCACATCACACCACATGACCCACCACATCTTGACGTATATACTGTATAGGTACTCAAATTATCTTCCTAGTTACTAGTTACTAGTTACTGGAACTAGACTGGTATCGTAATAATTCAGAAAAAAGAAAAGAAATATTATAATGTTACAATATACTGGAGTACTAGGTGGGTAGGTGGGTGTGGGTATGGGTATGGATGGGTATGGGTATGGATGGGGGTAGGTATGTATAAGGATTATCACCAACCAACTAACTGCTGTGGAAATAAATGTACTTGTTGTCTTTGTTTTTGTTTTGTTGCAATGTTGATGTTGAGATTGATGTTGAGATGGGAGTGGGTGGGAGTGGGTGTGGGATGTAAAGTGTGGATGTGGGTGTAGGTGTAGTACTTGGAGATTGGATGATGAATGATGGATGATGGACGGATGATTGTGTGGTTTGGATTGGATTGGATTGGATGTAGGTGTAGATGTAGGTGTAGGTATAAAGTGTAAAGTGTGAAGTGTAAAGTGTGAAGTGTGAAGTGTGAAATATAATATATATATATATATGAAATCTCTCTTTCCTTCCACTTTCTCTTCTTCTTTCTTAAATCCCTTGAAATATCTCCTTCCCTCTTCCCC